TCGAACTTAAAACTTCCTCTAATCAACTAATAACGTAATCAATGTTCAAAAATCCACTTTTAACTGTCAAATAACAAACAAATCATAAATAAAAAAGGTTATATAGTGAAGTGTCTTAAAGTGAAGTGTCTGTCGCTCTTTGGAGATAAAACAAAAATTAGTGTCAAATTTAGCAGCTGGAAAGTCTAATATTTTATACAAAACTCATCAGAATGTGTGCTTTGGTTTCTGCGTTCATGATTAATCAGACGGTCAGGATTGGTCTGCAAAATCAGGAGCTCATGGTAAGTCAGAGTACTATATACTGTAGAGAACGTGGATAATTTGACTGCACGTGTGGGGGGTTAAAGGATCAATGAGGAGTTAAACTTCGCAACAAAACATGATTTTCTTCGTGTTAATTTGGGATTTAGCGAATATTAATTTAATTAAAATTTGATTAATAATTGGGAAGGTGGGAAGTTTGGTGGGGGAAGTGGGTGCATTGGATGCCCTGAGGCTCTGACGGTGGCTTCGCGCCACTGAGTTACAAATTGAATGATGCAACCACCACGGTTGCTGACTCACCACTCGGACGGTGCTGTTTGTTCACATTCACCTTGGTTGCATGTAGGGGAGCAATTTTTATAGGGAGACTTTGGATGCGGTCCCTAACTACGAATATTCTTTGACTGAAACCTTATTGGTTTTCAATTTTTGATCTAAGTCCCTGAAATTAATGTGATAATTTATTTCTATGTACGTTACTATATATTTTTTAAAATTAAAAATTGAAATTTATAGTTGTTTATATTAATTAGATTTTAAATAAAAAATCATAATTTGTGGGATTAAAAATATTAAAATATAAATATACTATTGTGTGTGTGTGTGTAAACATGGGTACATTCATCAAAATTAACCAAAAAACTATTGTATCAAAACATGGGTACATTCTTCAAAATCACAAAAACAAAAAAAAAAGATATTAGGCTTAATAAAATTAGTAAATTTCTTCGATTAAACTTAACATGGATACATTCTCGAATCAAAGAAAAAAGAATGTACCCATATAAGTTTAAAAATGGATTAGAAAAAAAATTGAATAGATTTTATATAAAAAGAAGGGTACATTTTACATATAACAAATTGGTATATTTAAGAATAAGTACATTTTAAGATTAAAAATTTGAAAAAAAATTACATGAATGGTACATATAATTAGCATGGGTACATTTAGCAAAATTAAAAATGGGTACAAATAAAAAAAAATATGGGTACAAATACAAATAAAACTTTATAAAATATGGGCACAAAAAGAAATTAATATATGGGTACAAATTAAAACTGAAAAGAAAATTGGTACAGATTAAAAAAGGGTTGCAAATTAAAAATGGGTACAAACTAAAAATAAAAATATATGATAAAAAATTTAGCCATAAATATAAATATACTAATTGTAACATTTTTAACATTAAATGAATATATTAGAAATAAATAATATTTTATTATTGAAATAATTAATTATGTTATTAATACCAAGGACTTTGATCAAAAAAATGAAAAGTAATAAGGTTTTTATCACATGAGTAGCAAAAGGAAGGATGAGAACTTAATTTCTCCATTTTTATACGACGTGAAATTCGTATGAATACAAAATCTGTTATTTACGCGATTAATATCATTCAACTAATATTTTTGTTGATGTCTACGGATACTCTTCTACATTTATAAGTGCGAGACTTAAATTCGGGATGCATAAACGGCGAGTGAGATTTTAAATTATTGAAGATCCAACTTCTACCTCCATTTTCTTTGTGTGGAAGAACAATAATATATTATTAATTCCATATAGGGGATCTTTGAATTGAGAAGATCCGTCGACCTGAGACGAAGAGAAATGTTCATCGATTTTATTTAGTTATTCAGTTAAACCAATGAGTCTTTGTTGTAGCAGAAGGACATCCTCATAGACTATATTGAGGAGTAAGTAAAGGGCTTTGATAAATTTTTCTAATTTTTTGCAACTCGAATTTAAGACATCACACTCATTTTATACGGAACTTCTCCATTCACATCGATATCATGGGGACTCATTTTGGTGGATCCTAATGGGGGTCATCCTTGTGTTTGCCTTAAATAGGAGAGAAACATCTGTAGAGCTGCTATATTAGGGCAGCTTTCCATGAGGTTGAAGGAACCAACGCGGGTCGGGCTAGAACAAAACAAATGGAAAGTTTCATGATGTTGTGAAAGGTGTCTAGCATGTGACGTGATTATAATGTCCCAACATGAGTTTTTCTCCATGAGCGGACAGTTAGCAACGAGCGAGTACTCCAGTAATTCTCTCTTAATTGACATGAACACGACACAAATATAAACAACGCCACGTGGGTATTTGAGGATTTGCCAACTGTGGAAATTAGCACTGTTTCTTCTTTTCAACTTACTCTCCCGTGAAACAAGCGTGTTTCGTGTCTCCCTTCTCAGAGTCGCCGGTTTTTTGCTCATGTTTATCCATTGCCTTTGTTTGGTAACGTCTTACGTGAGGCCTTCAAACTTTTCCAATTTGGCAACAAGAAGCGGCAAGTGTCAACCTCTGCAAATGCTGTAACGCTTCTTCTTCATCCACATAGAGAGCGTCAGTCATGCATATAATTTGGTGATGGCTTTATTCGGCCTGGACCGTTATCGATAGACACAGGAGAGAAGAGGAGCCGGATTCCGGAACCTTGTTGACATGTGGTTTGGGATCTCAAGCTCATCGAGGGCAAACTAGCTATATACGAGATTTTCTAGTATATTTCGAGATCGTTTTATATTCTCTAGACGTGACGTAATTACACGCTCTACATACATCAAATACTCGTTGTAGGATATTGAAAAAGTGTGACGTGATTACATGTACCATAATACAAGTAGATGATAAATGACTTTTGCTGTTTTACAATCTAATTTGTGTGGCGTTGACCTTTGTACAGATGGTTTACTACCAGTGAGGCGTTCACGACCACTAATACAAGGGCCCCTCTCCCTATGTAGTGAGTCTTACTCTTACCTATGGAACCGGATCACCTCCAGATCCAATAAAATTGAGTATGCTGAGTAAAAGATCTAGACCGTTGAAAGTTAATATTTATTGCAATCATTGGATCAAATTTCAACGGTCCGAATCTTTTACTCAACATGCTCAATTTTATTGGATCCAAAAGAGATTTGGTTCCCGTACCAATGACTCGGTATTAAATTATTAATTGCCTAAACACCACCATAGCAGTAAATCCGTTTGAGCAATGGATCTGCAATCCACCTAAAATCATTTAACAGAAACATCTTACAATAAGAAAAATTTCAGGAAATTCAGGAGGAAAGTTATGGCGGGCATAGCTAGAGTGCGGAACGTATTTACACATCGCACTCCAATGCTCGTGTATAGTTGCACTCCCCAACATCATTTGTTCAAATGGATAGTAAATAAATTGGGAATTAATTGGATGATCATTTTATCAGGTAGATTTATTAAAAGCATTTATGAAGGATATGTCAAAAAATGTATATTAAATGTTAATTTGATGGATGATGTGACTAATAGAGGAGCTAGAAAATTTTCACCGGATGAGCTAACTTAAAGATTTAAATCTTTATAAACAAAGATTTGATACTATATTTTTTACAGTATTAGTTAGCTTAAGAAAATTTTCATAAGGTGAACCAAGAACTTTTGTTATTCATTCAAACTTGTACATATACAAGAAGCGATGAGAAAAAAATGTGAGAAAAATAGATGATTTGTAAACTATGTTATATAATTACAACGAGAGAATTCGAATCAGTGATTAAATATATAGTGGGCTACATTCGAAAATCAATAAAAATTACATGTAAAATTTTATTTTCTACCAAAAGCTACCTGGGCTACAGCCCAGATTAGCCCTTAATGTGGCTCCGCCGATGGACGTGGCAATGTCAGATTTTCTCTTTTTCCAACTAATATATATTTTTGTTATAAATAAAGAAATCAATGAAAAATAAATTTTCAAGATCTATAATTAGTGCATTAATGAAACTCAAGAATTAAAAATTATTTGACATCACATTTTCTCATATGTCAATCCACATAGGATGACATATCGGTTGGAGCTTACTCCTACTTCAAATTTGATTACATTACATTCCACTTAGAATTGGACATCTCCTTTGGAGATGATCTAATAAATCATAAAATATTCTATTGTTTCTTGTAAAAAAATAAAAAAATAAAAAAATAAAACCCAATAATTCCATAAAATTCAATGACCAATTTCACCATAAATTGCATCATATTATTAATTCACCCGCCGTCAGTTGCATCATATTATTACTTCACCCACCGTCTCCACCCTTCCCCAACCACCACCACCACCACCACCACCACCACCTAGTCATCCTCATCCTCAATTCGCAGGAAAACGAAGTCCGTTTCGTCCACGGACTCATGGCCTGCGTGGAATCCATCCAACATACCAAGTGAAATAGTTGCTTTCGAATTGAATACAACTTCTCGGGCTAGGTTACGGTAGAACGAAATGTGGCCGGTTTTGGTGCCATTGTCCGCGATGAAACAGGTAATTTTGTGTCAGCAAAATGCGGCAGGGAAGAGGATGTTTTTTCTCCTCTCCATGCAGAAGCAGTGGCCTTAAGGGCGGGTTTGTCTTGGGCAGTTCACAGGGGTTTTCAATATATTTCTTTCGAAAGCAATTCACTTCAGATTGTGGAGGCGTCGTGTGATTTCTCTCCAAATTTGTCATTCATTGGGCAAATTGTAGAAGATATTTTCAATCACTGAAGGTAAAATTACCCGCACTCGTTGCCAAGCAAACTTGGTTGCTCATCGCCTTGCACGGGTTGGTCTCTCGGTGCAACAAGATTGTCTATGAGATGTTACTCCCCCAGCTATTGTCACTGACTTGTGGAGGATAATGTACTGCCATAACCGGCTCTGGATGTAACTCTTGTACTGTATTTTTCCAAAAAAAAAAAAAAAAAAAAAAAGGCTTCAAATACAACTTGGAAATGAGAAAAAAACAATTCTCAGACGCTATCAAATGGCATTGAGCAATGGGAAAACAAGATGCAGATTTCCAAACGCGAATACCAGTAACCTCTCAAGCATCGAGACCTACATATCATGAATGCAACAATTCGGCCTCAATACTTGCGAGAACAATCAATAATCCTATACAAAAACGACGGCGAGTATCAAAATGTACAGCTCGGAAGAGATGGCCATCTTGATTCGAACCATTTATTGTTTCATTTTTTTTCTCTTTTCCGGGAAATTGGAAGGTGTGGTTCAATTGTGAAAGCAAAAGGACCTTCAGGGTCGACGAAGGACAGTCTTTGGTCGCTCATCGGCAACTTTCCGCTTTGGATTCAGGGAAGTACAGTTCTGATTTCTTTCCTATCTGGTCCAAAAGACTGCAATTAAACGTGAGATTTTAGCTGCAACCGGGGCAAGTAACATCCACATACAACGTAATCAAAGAGGACGTAAGTAATACATGGTCACGTAAGAAAGCATATTGTGTTATCTGTGTGTGAAATACAAGGGAAGGGATAAAATATTACCTCAGTTCCATAGCCTTTCACATAGATATTTGTGAAGAGTTCGGAGGGTTCTGGCATCGGGCTTTCCTGAAAACAGGAACAACAGACATCAAAAACAGTGTGACAGAATGATATCTAGTAACAATAAAAATACGGCAGCACGCGTTTAAAAATAAAAATAAAGATAAACTAATGAAATCAAATGACAGCAGAAAGTTACACTTACTTTGGCTTGAGCAATGGCTTCATCAACTTCTTTTCTTACTTCCTTCTCGATATCCTAAACGAAGAGTAGAGAAAGAGATAAATACATATACGTTTTTCTCATAGTCCTTATGGCATTCAAGCAGGGATCGATCCCCTGACAGCAAGATGAGAAACAGGAACGGGACCAATAAACCAACATTTAACCTCAATTATGGAATTTTATATCAAAATAGAAATGAAAGTAAATTTAATACAGAAGTCAGTATAGTTGAATAGGATACCTTTAGATCCTTCTCAGTAGCTAGATCATGAGCAAATATCAGCTTTCTTATTCTATCAATTGGATCACGCTCCTAGAAATTGCATCACAAAGTAAAATTATAAAAGACACTTGTAAAATTGTGGCACATAATCTCCAAAATAAGGAAGGGGGAAAGGATTTCAGTATGCATATCAAACCTGTCTCACGCCAGAAATCTCATCACGTGTGCGGTAGGTGCTACCAGGATCAGACATAGAGTGACCATGGTACCTGTAAGTGTCCATTTCAAGAATCTGACCACCAGTATCAGGAAGATTGTCAGGCAAAAAATATCATGTAGAGTAACAGCAAATTCAACAATTATAACACTTGAAATAGTTACATGAGTTCCATGATTGTATGAATAACAAATATGCAATTCAAAGCCTAAAAAGCTCTTGTACGACTTCCATATATCACATATATCACACAGATCACCATTTCAAAAAGACCAATTAATCTCTACGGTTCAAAGCTTGATCTAAACAAAACCCTGGGTCTGAATGAAGGTTACAATTCCTCAATGAACCACACAGGCTTCTCTAAGTATCTGAACAATTTCAAATTAGAAAAATGGAGAATGTAATACTTGGACCAAACATTTCATTTCATGCCCCTTTTCATTTCCAAAGCATTATATCTCTATTTACTTCCACAAAGGGTGTACAAATGCTAAAAAGGTCTCTTCAAGTAGAAAATGCATTGCTTACCCAACAAAGTACCGGAGTCCATGCAACTGTAACCCAAGTTTATACTAGAATTCTAAAGGGATTCTGCGTCAAATTTCGGAATGTCTGCAAACAGAGTTGCAATTTCTAAAACTAAAATCACAGTCATACATTTACTGTCAAACTGACCCCGGACTAGAGGCGGCTTAGACATTTCCCTCATACACAAGATTAATTCACAGATCACATGCGTGATAGTTCATTGTAGCTTCAATCTAATGTACGCTTAACCTACTCTGGCAGCATTTGCAATCACAAAGGAATTATCAATTATGGGTCCTCCCCCAAAAAGTCATTTGACATACGCACTACCTATCAGGTTTTGCTTCTATACGTGGGACTATAAACTAAAACAGTGAAGCAGATGTCCTAACAATAAATCAAATCATGTTGCCATAGTTTGCACAAAGAACTTTAAAAAAATCATGTCAGAGCAAACAACGGAGGAATAACTCACAATGGGTCCGTTCTTCAGAGCATGCTCCTTGGCAAATTTGCATGCCTGCTTTACGGCAAACACATCCATACCATCCACCTGAAGATTGGCCATAAACCATTCGCTAAATGAGCATAAACTCCTACTAGAAACAATAATCTGATTATCATCTACAATCGTCTACTCTTTGCAAATACTTGCATGTTATACCAATCACAAAACCAACATTTCTTCAATTAGCTAACGAAATTCAAAGAATGCACAAGGAAACCAGTAAAATTCAAGACTGAAAAATTCTATCTAACCTTCAAGCCAGGAACATAATCTCCACGCTTGTAATATGCGGGACTCTTCGCTGCTCTCCACTCGGCGGTACCCATTCCATCTGCATCAAAAGCACATCCAAATCATTCAGTATATGTAAATTGACAGTATCCATTGGATCAATCTTTTGTTCATGAAGAAACATCTACTTACAGTGATTATTCTCACAGACCAAAATCGCAGGCAGATCCCAAAGCGCAGAAATGTTAAGCGCCTCGAACAACTGCCCTTGATTGGCTGCACCGTCACCGTAGAGAGCAAACGTCACCGTTTCGTCCTTGGAGTACTTTTGCCCAAAAGCCAATCCACATCCCAGCGGAATCTGAGCGCCGACTATACCGTGGCCACCATAGAATCCAGCGTCCTTCTTGTAGAAATGCATGGACCCACCTTTCCCCTTGGAGCAGCCAGCCTGGCGCCCCATGAGCTCGGCGAAAACCTGCAGGAGGGTCCCACCGCGGCCGAGGAAGGTGCAGTGGTCACGGTACGCAGTGATGATGCAGTCCTTTTTGGTAATCGCGGCCTCCATGCCGATGGCGACGGCCTCCTGGCCGTCGTATAGGTGGCAAAACCCTCGGATCAGCTTGGCCTTGTAGAGCGAGTCGGCTGCGATCTCCATCCGGCGCATCAACGCCATGTCGCGGAAGAACGTCATAAGCTCCTTGGGAGTGGTCTCGAGCGTGCGCGACGGCGGCTCACAGTTGTGGGAGGTGAAGGGGAGGGAGGTCTCGAACGTGAGGGTGGTGGAGTCATCGGCGGCGGATGAGATCGGACGGCGGAGAGATGGGGTGAGGGATAAGGCGGAGGCGAAGGGCCTCAGGAGATTGGAGCCAGAGGAGGAGGAGGCTAGGCGGGATAGAGCCATATCTGACCGTTGGATCGTTCCGGCTGTCTGAGACGATGGGAGCTAAGAGACCGGTAAAAGAAAAATGAAAAGGGTTTGTGGAGAGTTCGGGAGATTGGCAGTTGTATATCACGTGTCGTTGTATAAGAGATGGATATGCGTGTTAAAATGTTAAAAAAAAAATAATATTATTTTTCATCATTTGTATAAAAGTATTTTATTAGTGAAAACGTAAGCTGCCGTTTTTTTGTGGCGGAGTGATTTCTTTTGACTTTATAATTTTGGTATTATTTTATAAATTATATTAAGTGAATGTTTATAATTGAATTAGAATTAATTGACGAGTTTATTTTTTATCAGTGACATTATACCGTCTAAGCAAATGATTTCTTTAGTATTTTCTTTCTAAATCTAAACTTTTATTTATTTTATATTCCTGAGTCTATAGTTGTATCTATTTTTGTGGGTGTTCGTTAATTTAATTTGCACTGAAAAACTTAATTTTGAGTATTTGAGTAAAATATTCCGTACAAGTATTGGTAGCAGATGCGAAATGGGGTTTGGTGGAAGTAAGCAAAGATGCGCTACATGTGGTTTGGTGATTTGGTGGGTGGATATTATATGGTCTACGCATATTGAACGGCGGCTGGGCGGGCGCCTTATTATTATTTCTTTATTTTGCCAATAATTTGTTTGAGTTGATAATAAACAAATGATGGTCTATTTAGTCTTTAGCTCAAAGGCTATAAAATTCTCACATACTATTTATTTATTTATTTTTCGTCATCCAATTGAGAAAATTAGACGAAAACAACGATTATGGTTGACTAGCAGAACTTAAAGACATCTCAATTACAAATTAAGTTGAATATTACTAGACGGTGATAATGTTGGGTTATCGAATCGACGTCGTCGAAATGAAGTTTTGAGAACCGACATTGATGTAGATGAAGTTGGTTTACCAATGTTTGGTTTTCGATCAATTCGGTGCATTGCGGATTCAAGCAAATAGTAAATACGGATTATGGACAAATACAAAGCCCACCCAGCCCAATACCATATCACGAAGATAAATTACTCATGAAGAAAACTTCTCCCATTACTGCAGGATCAGAAGGGATGAGTTTTCTCCATGTTGGGCGATACCAAATTATTTCTCCCATCTCTTAAGTGTAAGTATAATATCGTTGTTTAAAAAACAAATCATCTTCTAATTCCACAAAACAAAAAATCATTCGCTTCCAAGATTAAGAAATTATCCGTTCTAATCTAATCCTCCATACTAAATGATACTAAAGACGACATGATAAACATACAGACCAAAAATGGAAGATTAACGATTAGCTAGTAAAAACCGGGCTGGCTGGTCTCCTGGCCAAATCAGTCCGGCAATTTTAATGACCGACGCATATAAGTATCAACCGTAAAATTAATTAGAGCTTCCGATACGACATTAAGAAAGATTAACAAAAAAAATTGATGAATAAAATGACCATGCATCTCAAGTTTACAACACAAATTACCTCTATTTACATGAATGCGGCTTAAAGATCCGCACCCCCGTCATCCTCTCCTCAAATTCTTTATTAGGTTGGAGAGACGGATGTATGAGAATACACAGGTAATTCCACCAAAAGCTTTTTCGCTCACAGCGTCTCAAATTTTTCGAGTTTCCAGCGCCATGGTATGTAATGCTTGCAAAATGCTACTGGAGAAACAGATGTAAACAGCATCACACATGGTTTGAAGGTTTTTTCAATTATATTAACTAAAAAACACTACCTAAACGATAGAAGTGTCAGACACCGCTATTAAGAAACGAAGCACATACCATATTTACTTGATGGTCAAAAGATGACATATCATGAGCTCGAAAGCAACCGCTGAAATCGCTCTACTCTACCAGAACCATTAGGAGACCTAGCCGGGTTATGGCATGAACCGTTCTGGTGCAAACTTTTCCTTTTCTTCTTTGTCCGAAACAGAAAGTCTTCTGTATCTAAGACGTACGAGACCTAACACACAAAAGTTTAAATGATTAACAGATGCAGAAAGGCCAGAAAAGAAGACCTAATCATAGAAAGGAAATCCAGAGACTGGCTCAATTTAATGCAAAACTTATCGTCGTAATGCACCAAAATAATAACAAGCTACATATAGGCAGAGGAGTGAATGTAGTACCTTGGATGAATGGCAAGCAATCTTACACTCCAGACCATTGGCGACTTTTAGTCCTTCCATGGCCTCACAGATTGCAGACAATTCATCACTATTATACTTGTGTTTGTTCCTGGAAAAAAAAAAAAAAAAAAGCAAGGCATTAATAGTCATGACAACTCAACTTCAAAAACTCCGTACTGCCAACTATAGCAAACATACCTCTTCAAGAAGATCCCGGACTTCTCTTTTTTGTCAGGAAGAACTGACAGGAATTCATTATGCAGATATGCGGAAAAATTAGGGTCCATGGAAACAGCAGTCATTTCGGGCTTATCATGCCCAAAATCCATAAGCTGAATAGACACCCGGGTTGGAGAGGATGCCTGCAACGAAGAAAATAGTGATTATAGATAGAGTTGAAATTCCATTAGTGTAGATAGTATTACAACTTAGAATGTAACATACGAGACATACACATTCGATGCGATAAATGTTCTCATCGTAAAGAAGAACACGAGCATTTTCGTGATAAACCACATCAACAAATCTTCCCAGTTTTCTTGATTTTTCAAATGCATAAAGCTGGAAAAGTTTGTTGTCCATCTCATCACTGGCAACAGTTTGGAGCTGAAAAAAAATAGGAAATGAAGCAAAACTTCTGGGGTCAAAAAAGGGAGATGGGAAAGAAACTTGAAAAAAGAAAATGTACGGCCATCCAACCTGCTTAACGAGTTTGTAGATCAGCTTGTCTAATGTGAATAGAAGATACGATTGTGTCCCAATGATGGCTCGACAATCATCCTCAAATTTTGTATTGTCAGAAGAACCGTCAAGTAAATTGTAAAGTGCACTCATGAATCTGTATCATAAAATAAGGAGTTAGGAAATATATACACTTAGTTGTGAACAAACAAGGAGACCAAAGAAAAACTACCTAGCATAAGAATCTGAAGGGCTCGAATCATTTGAAGCAGCCCGCCACTTCCTCTCAGCAGATGATGAGTTAATCTTTGCTGATTGTATTCTCTCATATAATGTCTATCAAATAAGTGAAACAGTTGGGATACACATATATCAACATCACCATCTACAAAATTCAAAGGAAAAAAAAAACGATATTTTGACCAAAGTACTTGCATCCATTAGATTAGATATGGACAGTTGAGATATATACGAGTACGACCCACTGATCCATATATGATCTAATGGCTGAACTACAAGTACTTAAGTTTAAGTCCTTGTGCACCAATACACACGTACGCTTGTGTGTACGTGTCTTAATAATTAACCTTACTTGGTGAAGCCTGAATAGCACATAGAAAGAATCATTTCCGTAAAATATCCGAGAGTCCTTCTCCTTGTCATGTAAAGCTGAAGGAACATACTTTGCAAGAGGCTTCACGGTCAGGAGAAAACGTTCTGAAAGAGGCAAAGATATTCCATCTCCTTCAACATCATGGGCATCAGCCATCCCTTCAGCTTCACCTTCACTCTCGGCCTTAGTATCGTGCTCATCATTGTCCCCATCTTCCTCACGCTCTTCACGAGAACATTCCTCCCCGTCACCAGACTCACTTCCAGAAACATCACCATTCTCAGAGGCATTCTCGCTATCCTCCGATGACCTCGGAGCACTTTCCTCACCTTCATCATCGGCATCAGCTTCATTTTCTCCACCTGTCTCTCCAGCACATATTTCTTCTTCCCCATGTCTGGCTTGATATTGCCTGCTGATAGTACCATGCTTTGATTTTTGAATGGCCTCCGAACCAGCTTCTCTATAGTTTGCAAAATTATCCTCCTCAAAATCTCCATTTGGAGATATTTCGCCTTCTTCTCTTTCAATCTTGAAGTGCCTAGCAGACTCTTCAAGATATCTGAGACCTTTGGCGCCTTCTGCTATTGCTCCATTTGAGGAAATACCTGGTCTTGTAGAATCACCAACCTATGACATCAATAGGAACACAAATATGTTCAGCAAATATTTATCGCGACAATATAGAAATAATATCCAGTACCCACCACAAAGACCACTAGCATACAGTTTGTCAGCTATAGCACTATTTGATGAGTAGTAAATACAATCACTGAATTGACTTATCAAAAGCTGATATTAGAACATATCTTACTATATACAAGTAGACCACATACCATGGCATGTTTATCCACAAGATTTATCTAATAGCTGATTACAATGTATCTAACCTATACATTTAAGATAGCAACATGCCATATCAAGTTTATCATCTCAACATAATCAACGTACAAGGTTGCAAACTGCCACGTAGTTGGAAATTTATATAAACCCTAAATATAGCTGCAAGTGTCATACCTTTTGTTTCATTTGTTACTACATATCTTTCAGCTTTTACCAAAAACACTCACGATAAGAATCAACTCACCCAACACAAAGTGCTCCAAAATTCAGTGCAAAAACCTCTACAAGATTAATATTACACACACACTACAGGAAACTCTCTTTGTTCCCATCTAACCTTAATTGTTCAACATGTGCAAAGTTGGCTATTTTTTCACTACCCTTTCACCATAAGTAATCAAACTACTAACCAAAATTAGTTTCATCAAATATGTACCAACAACCCATACTGCCAATATCAACCAGGGTTCTCAAAACATCAAAGTTTTACCACTGTACCAGCCATACCTCTGATGAAGGTAACTCCAGCCCAACATCAACAGTGCCATTACCAGGTCTGGACGGAGTAGGACTATGCCCTAGTAACCAACGAAAAAAAGGATTTCAGATATCTAGTTGCAATTTCAGAAGGAAAAGTATGAAATAAATAAATAACAAAGCAATACGTCCAAGTAGTACGAATAAAAATTTTCAGTAGTTTTGAACGTTCTACAAACCTGATGAGTGTTCTAAATTAGTTCTTCCATTACTTTGCTCCAACCCAGTGGCAAGTGATACATTAGAATTCACTAATCGTTCATTGAAATAGT